TCGAGCGTTTCAGAAACATTACCCGTGGCGCCCGGTTATTACCGGAAAGGGTTAGATCGCCCGAGGGATAAGCCCGAGGAATTTCGTGCCCCGCTCTTCCCGGAATCTGCACTGCGACACTTACATTCTCGCCAGCCTTATCCCTTTCCCCGTCGTTTCCAATCTCTCTCTCTCTCTCTCTCTCTTTCACTTCCGTTTCACTCTTCGTCTCTCCCTTTCACTATTTCGCTCTTTAACCTCTCGCCGATAGGGGCAGCGAAGAGAGACGCGGGATTGGCGCCGAAGATGGATTCCGGTATCGAAGGATCGGCAGTAGGATTTTCCAGGTTATATTCCCGCCGCGAGCTATACGGGATATCCCGAGATTCGAGCGTACTCCGTTACCGCGACTTTGAAGGGGCTTCTCCATGAAAGTTACACCTTCATACGACGTGGACTTTATGATCAACTCTCGCAACGGCGGCGCATTCGCCGCGAAGAAAGTGGCACGGTTTCCCGGGGTATTACTTTAAGCCCGTCGCGCGAAGGGATGCGCGAAGGGAGGACGCGGAAGTGAAATCACCGATGCGCAACGTAATGACGGTCACGGGATTCTTCGCGTTGCTGTGCACGTAGTAGCAGCAGCAGTAGTGGTACCTGTGCTAGTAGTAGTCCTCGTCGTCGTCGTCGAAGCTTGTTTGCCGCCCTTCATCCCTACGCTTATCCACCGAGAGGGTAGGGGGTGGGGAGGGGGATACGGTGGAGCGGAATGTCGTATTTATGTAAGAGCTCGGGGGAGCGGATTCGCCGCGATCGCGACTGAATTTGCAAATACCGAGGGGAGAAGAAAGCGTTTGAAAAAATGGGTCAGGAAAGCCAACGGGCTGCGCAGTTCCAGCTGAGTTTCGCGACCACGTGGCGCGCAGCGAGACGCGCGCGGGCAACGCGTCTGCGATTGGCTCATGCATTTTTCAGCAGTCGCTGCATTTGTTTGATCAGACCTACCTACCCCGACGCCGTTACTTTTCGCCACGGGTTTTTGCGAGGTAGTACGCGCCGGTAAAACGGCCGAACCAGGTACACGTACGTGTGTTTGTGTGGTATGCGCGTGGGCGTGTGTCTGTCTATGTGTGTGTGTGTGTGTGTGTGTGTAAATAGGTTGCCGGTCGCAAGTTCGAAACTGAACGAAAGATCGATCGGGAGCCCGTGCCCTCGCGGAATAGCCCGCCTCCGCTACCTTCCACGTCGTGTGTTCGATCTCATCGTCACGAATCGTTTCTTCGTGGCGACGCGCCGTGCGTGCCGCCAAGCTTGATCGATTTTTCGAGCGGTCGCGTCGTTCCTCTTTTCTCTCTTTCTTCTCTTCTCTCTCTTCCCCTTTCTCTTTCTCCCTCTCTCTCTTCCTTGTCCTCTATCATTCTCGGTCCTCCCCTTTTCTATCCGGCAGCGTCCACGAGAGGGTAATGCGCGCCTTAGGGCTCCTCTTTAAAGCCGCAGTAAATTAGTCCGCCACAATCTCTTTTTGATTGAACGGAAAAGAAGAGCGCGGGAACCCGCTCCTGTCCCTCGCGTAAACGTCGTTGTCTCCGTTCAAACACGTCGGGGCCGATATCGCTCCTCGTTTGCTTTAACGATCGGTCCTCGTCGAGAGGAGTTCCCTCGAAATCCTCGGCTACGCGTCGTTCTTCGCGCGCGAAGAGAACGACCCCGAGTGGAAACTTAAAACGGGGACTCGAACAGCTCCGTACAGTTTTTCCCGACTTGTATCGAAGAGCCCCGCTTTGGCCCTACGCAGAAATGTAACGCTCGTACAAATAGGGCCAAATTAGTTAATCCAACCAGGCCCTATCTTGGTAAGTCTTACTAGATTGTATCTTGTTATGCTGCCAATTTATACGAAAATTCAAATGCGGATTTGTAGCCTGTTTGTGTTGAATTTTTTCAACATTCTTAAACATTCTTGAGAATCAAAATCAAAGTTAGTTAACTTGACTCTTATTTCGACCTTATTACAGTAGATTTCACTTAAATATTTTTAAAACCTTAGATAACTAAACTTTGACTGGGCCCTATGAACTCACATTTTGTTCGGGACATCCAGCGTCATATTCGGGGTCTATTCACGAAATTCCATTCAGAATTTCATTTCTTTCATCATATCTGGGCCCAACGAAGGCAAGCTTATTTAGGACCACTACAGACTTAAGGCGCGCCTCGATTAATTTTTATCCAGGACGTCTTTTCGGTGACGTCGCGCGGATGACACGGATCACGCGGATGACGCGCCAGCGAATGAATGGTTCGCCTCTCGGCAGATTCGAGAGGCTTCGAGGCGCACAGCGCGACACGTTGAATAATAGATATCCCGGATTTGGCGCGTTCGAACACGCGGCGCTGCTTTACACGCGCGACGAGATCCTCGAATGCGGTGTACTCACCGATCACGGTCAGGTTGTAGCGGAAGCTGCGCGTCTGACCCTGCCGGAAGTCCACCCTGCATCTGTACGTGGCCGCGTCGTGCCGCTTTATGTCGTCGATCACTAGAACCGCCGGGCTCGGGAAGGCCGTGCGGAAGAACGCACGCGGCCCGAAAACGCCGGAGTCCGACGAGTGCTGCGCCTTCGTCACCGGCTTCTCCCGCGCGTCGATCCTACAATGAAAAGAGACGCGTCTTTGAACGACTTTTAAACTTCATTCTGGAACGTGTGTGTGCTAAGAATGGCAATTCTTAACTTTCCCAACGCTTCAACTGAAATTAATTCGATGCGTCGAGTGCCGTGGCGATTACCGGTAATCGGTACTGTTACTATCACGTTTAAAAAAATATAAGTAATTGCCGTTTATAGTGTGAGTAGAGTTAGTAAATAATCGATGAACGACGTGAAAGATATGTAGATACTTAGAATTGTATTTATTCATGGTTAGTATTGATCTTTGGTAATTTAATTATTGATCGAACTATTGCATAATCAATGGTAATCAACGATACAGCACAACCTGTTAATGATGAAGCATAAGTTAAATAATCTCGTGAGGATTTTATACTCTGAAATAATCTCGTGCATTTTACCAGCATCCTTGCAACAGAGAAGAATGTCAAATGATCTTCTCTTTCATCTTTTATCTGTTTAACTGTAATATCGATTATCCATACATTTTAAAATTAATATGACTGAATATTTCGTCAAGATTCTTCAGACGTTGCCCGATTTTTTATGTAGAACATCACCAAACTTTATACAGTATATATGAATGTATATGTATCATATGAATTCTCATATGAATACATTGTATACAACTGCTAATTTATTCTCCTGTATCCATCGTTTTTTTTTTTTCATGGAAATTTAACTGCGTTTAAATCTTCTATTATGCACGCGGTTTCATGAGCTCCATCTTTTTGTAATTATTATTTATATTTTTTTTCTTTTTTTTTTTATTAGTTTACCGCTTTCTATATTAGAGTATATTTGTGATTTTCCTTTCTTTTCACCTGTTTTACCTGCCATATTTTATGTATACACAGAAAAAATAGTTTTAAATCAAGAATCGATATTCCCATATGTTACGATCTTCTTAAAAGATTTTTAGTCTTAATTTGATTGATTTGATATTGATACAAATATTATCTGAACTAAATTTAAGACTAAAAATCTTCCAAGAAGATTATATAATATTCTCGCTTATATATGAGAATATCTATTCTTGATTTAAAACAATTTTTTTCTATGTAATATAAAGGGTGTTTCCCATAAAGATTATTATTATCGTCATATTACAAAGATTATTATTACTATCGTTGTTATATCCGTTATCTACGAAGATTCTTTCGAAAGTTAAATATCCCATCGAGGCAGGTTTACCACGTCAGTCGATTTAATCCTCACCCACCTCTCTACTCATCGGGTTGTTCATTCCCTGTTAACCTCGTTTCATTTCTTTCGGAATAACAACGGCGTGATTCCGATTACTTTTTCCCCCGTCAGATTGTAAGACAATTGGCGGGAATTTCGAGAATTCACGGCACGGTCGGCGGCGGTATTCCGATATGTATACATAGAAAACGATCGCAATTTCCGGCCAATGAAATCCGAGTCTCACGCGCGAAGAGGAAGAGGAGGAAGAGGAGAGGTTCCGAGCCGAGCGGCGCGGACAATGGAATCGCGAGGCGACGGCGAGAGGGAGGGAGGGAGGGTCGGTCGGTTGGAAGTGGCGCTGAAAAAATCTGCATTGCGATTCATTGACCACCGCAGCGAATCGTGGTAGTATCGAGTATTACCCGCTTACGAGGCCGATATAATTATTTCAAATCGATGGAATAATTATCGTGCGCGCGCGCACGAGAGTGAATGAGAGAGAGAGAGAGAGAGAGAGAGGGAGCGCAGGCGAGCGTGGGCGTGCAAGGTAGCCGGCGATAACGCAATTAAATCGCAGCCGTGTTATCCGATATTTTGAACGGACGCCGTTCATTTCCGTTTCATCGATATCCGGCGTAGATACGCCTAGCCGAAGAAAAAGAGCCGGGAGAGCGGCCGATGTGCGATCGAACCGCGCGCGTCGGCTGATTACAATGGATAATTGGAAAATATAATCACAGCGCCGCGTTGGTGCTCGACGAGTAATCTACGGTATTTACGTTACGTTACGGTTTACCGCTCGAGGTACGCGCGAGCGCGTTTCGCGAAATCGAAACAGATTCGCGCGCGCGCGCAGCTGTCCGATAACTGTCCGCCGGTGAAACTTCTTCGAATCTCGCGCGCGATATGATGGACGGACACGCGGAAGGGAGATTCCAGACGGATCGTAACGAGCGATAACGAGCGCACGCGTTATACGAAATAAATTCGCCGGATAATGGCAATCAAAGGAAGCGCGGCAAATGAGGCGGGGATCGAGCGAAGAGAAATATTCGCAGTTGATTTTTTGCCGAGCCGCGTTTCCCAGCAATACCGAAATGAGATTTTACGAGCGCGCGTTCAACGATTCCCGTTTGACATTAACTGCAATTATATGCGCGCATAATATAGTAACTATATATTAATGGGAACGTAAAACCTCCCCGATGCGAATACGCGTGTATCGACGTGTGTGTACGTGTGGGCGTGCATGTGTGTGTGTATGTGCGGCGCAATATCGGACGTCGTTTGATGTAAATGTAATGTCAAAAGCCCCCGCCAGCGCGAAATCACGTATTTTATTAACGAAAGTGGCGATATACGTGTACTGCGAAATTCGCGATCGCTCCGGAAGGAAAGTTATTATTTGATAATCTGAATTCAGCCCAAAGTACCGTCGCGTTGCTCGTATCACGAACTCTGCAACTCTCCTCTCTCTCTCTCTCTCTCTCTCTCCCTCCCTCTTTTTCCTGTGCATCCGCTTTGCCGAAACGATCAAACGTTATGATTTTATAATTGCGTAGCGTAACGTGGGAAGGGGGCGGATGTTTTCCCTCGCGAAAAATCTCATATTTAATTACCGTTTAATTGTATCACAATAATCGCGCGCCGTTACGATGCGCGCGACGCGGATAGCCCGAAACGTTCCACACGAGGATAAACTTGCGGGAGGGGAGGAGGGGAAAAACGCGGGGAGTTATTTACGAGCCGACCCCGATACTATACGTCTCTTTATTATTTACGAGGCGTAATAATTTTTACGATCCCAACGTGAAAATGGACGGAGCGCGAGCGCGTTTGTATCGTATCCGAGTTTAGGGAAAATCGAGTTGCGCCTCCGCTCCGGGCTCTCTCTCTTCCTCTTCCCCCTCCCCCACCTCTCTCTCTCTCTCTCTCTCTTTCTCTCACTTGTAGTTTTCCGCTTCGGGCGTACGTGTGCGTTCGCACGGGGGCGTCTTATATGCGGCAGCATAAGGGTTTTCTTTCCTCTCCCTTGGATTTCACGCGGACGACGACGACGTCGTCGACGGGATGCAGCGCGGATGCGGCCGAGAAGTGGCGGGAATAGAACAAGCGACGGAGACGAAAGACGAGAGAATACGGCACGAGATGCAATAAGGAAATGCGTATTTCTCTCTTTCCCTCCCCCTCCCTCCCTCGCTCTTTTTCCCTTTCATACGCCGGCACAGGAACGTTCTCGCTTCCCTCCACCCTTCGCGGCCGTTCTCGAGGAGCACTCCGGCGAGACTCTCGTCGATTCACGTCGACGTGGCGCGCCGAGTAATACGGAATCGATGTCTGTTTTATGAAACGTTTTATCTTGCCGCGCAGCCAGCTTTCCAATATTTCGCCCGATTCTTCCCGTCTCGTTCACGACCTTTCCCTCCGATCTGTCGTTCTCTCTGTCTGCGCCGTTATTCCCTCTCGCTTCGTCGCACCGGCCATTCTTCCCCCCCCCCCCCCCCNCTCTCGCTTCGTCGCACCGGCCATTCTTCCCCCCCCCACCCCCCGGTTCCGTTCGGCTACGTGTTCCGCTTCGATTATCTTCTCGCGAATGATACATATTCTTTAAGCCAGTGGTTCTGAAACGCGAGCCGACGCTGCTCACACTTCCACCCACGGAGCGAAAGGTCGCGTCTCTCTTTCTCCCTCGAAGAGGAACGATCACGGATGGATTCTCATCGTATCGCCGTAAATTCTCAAACGGGCGAACGCTGAAAGTGAACGCACCCTCCTCGGAACGTGGCACGCTGGAATAGCTCCGAAAAATCGCAGAGAAAGCGCGAGAAAAGCGGGCCGAAGAGCCGCGCGAGCACCACTGTCTTCAAAGGTTTCGCCGGGTATAAACAGGTGCAGGCAGGAGAGAGAGCCCGTGCGTGGAGCATCGAAAGCTCGCGAGAACACAAACACGATTCCTCCCCCAGCCGGTAATAGATTTCATTCTCAGCTTCCTCGACGGAAGAGAACGACGGAGGATCGGGCGGAGGTAGCCAGGCTAGGCTACCTGTTCCGTGCTTAAGGAGCTCGCCTTTTTCCCGGTGTGGGTGGATGTTACGCCGCGGAGAAAACACGACTGTTCCGCATTTAGATTTCAGGGTAACGTCGAGTGAAATTCATTTCCAATATTCCGTCTCCTTCGTCGTTCCCTCCGCGAGCGCGATTCGCGCGGTCTGCCACAGCACGAGACCTTTTCGTGCTTCGTCGTTCTCTCTCTCTCTCTCTCTCTCTTCCTCTCTCTCTCCACCCTCGTCTCTCGCTCCACGGTTCGCCCGTCCGCCCTCGTAAAAATGATAAATGTCCGGCGAGCAAAGGGTAAATAGCAACGGAATAAATGCACGCCCGCGCGCACGGCGCACTTTGCATAGCGTACAGCGAAAATTATACGTTTCTAAATATTTATTGGCGCATTAATTCCGCGACGTGTCTTTAACCCGGATCGCCTCGTGCCGGGTCGAAGCCGCGTTCCGCGACCGGCGGAGGCCGTAATAATTCTCGTCGACGCGACCTGGTGCGTTGTTTGCCGCGGGCTGCGCGCCGGATAAAGAGAGAAAGAGAGAGTGAGTCACGAGACGAGCACCACCCCTCATTTACGGTTTTCTAGATTACATGAATTTCGAGAGCGGCTGAGTGCTTTTTAATATTTCCCTCTACTTTCATCCGCACGGCCTGTGTGTGTACAGGTGTGCGCGCGCGCGCGCGCGCGATCTCTTGTCTCGTGTACCTTCCTCCTTTTGCACACGTCCCCCTCNNCCTC